CGCAACCCTCGGTGTTGCTCCCACACCTCACTCAGCCAGTGAGCGGCCGGTCTGTATGTGGTATCTGAACCCTCGGCAGGAGTGCCACCGCGCTTCCCAAGCGGCGCACTGTAGCAGTGTGCCACCGGGCCGGCCCCAGATGTCCCTATTTTGTGAGCAGCATATAATTCCCCCTGGCAGAACGTCTCTAAATTCAGGTATGGCTCCTCTCTCAACAAAACCCAGTCATCTGTATTAGTTTGCTATGCTAGGGCTGTAACAAAGTAGGGTAACAAAGTACCACAGAATGAGTGGCATAAACAACAGGAATTTGTGGTCTCACAGTTCTGGAGGCTAGAAATCTGAAGTCAAGATGTTGGCAGGGTGGGTTCTTTCTGAGAACTCTTAGGGAGAACCTGTTCCAGGCCTGTCTCTTTGCTGTGTAGAAGGCTTTCATCTCCCTCTGTCTCTTCACATTGTCTTCCCTTTGTGCCCATCTCTCCAAATTTCCCCTTTATAAGGACACAAGTCCCATTGGATTAGGGTCCACACTAATGACCTCATCTTAACTAATTACATCTGCAACAACCTTATTTTCAAATAAAGTTACATTCTGAGGTACCGGAGATTAGGACTTCAGCACATGAGTTTTAGGGCAATAGAATTCAACCCTTAGCAGTTGTCAAAGTCTATTAACTTATCTTTCAAAATATCTCTCATAAATGTCCTCTTTCATTCAAGTTCAGGTCCTTGTGTGGCATATTCCCACCATTGCAAGTCTTTCTAAAATGTCCCCAGTCTCCTCCCTCTCCCTAACCCATCCTTATACAGAAATGTGAGGCTATTCTTCCTCAGCACAGCCTTCATTGTGTCATTCCCATGCTCAAAGACCTTCAGTGCCTCCTCATTGTCTATCAAAAATAAGATCCAAATCATATAATCTGGTCCTCTGCAGTAAGGATTAAACCTACCTTCTTTTTAAAGACTCCCATCTTTTTTACACATTCACTCAGTCCCAGAATTATCAGATTATTTCACTTCTCCTATAAGTTTTATTTTTCCAACCTCTGCAAATTTGCTCTGGGTTTATCTACATCCTTGAATTCAACAAGTAGAGGGGAGATGGCAAGCATAGTGCTGTGACTAAGAATCTATGTTACCAAGAACTAGTCACTTAATTTCTCTGGGTTACTTAAATGTATGAGATATGGTTTGGCCAAGTCCCAATTCCTTAGAGAAACCCAATCTTGATACCTGTCCATTCCACTTCTATTTAACATAGTACTGGAGGTACTAGCCAAAGCAATCGGGCAAGAGAAAGAAATAAAGAGAATCTAGATTGGAAAAGATGAAGTCAGACTTTCTCTATTTGTAGGTGACATGATACTATATTTAGAAAAACCTAAAGACTCTATCAAAAAACTCCTAGAGCTGGTTAATAACTTCAATAATGTTGCAAGATACAAATAAATGCCCCCAAATCAATTGCATTTATATACTCAAATAATGAATGAACAGAAAGAGAAATAAAGAAAGTAAGCCCATTTACAATTGTCACAAAAAAAAATAAAATACCTAAGGATCAATTTCACCAAGGAGGTGAAAGATCTCTACAATGAGAGCTACAAACCACTGCTGACAGAAATTAAAGATGACATAAAAAGATATGAAGATATACCATGGTCTTGGATTGGAAGAATTAAAATTGTGGAAATGTCTATATTACCCAAAGCACTCTACAGATTCAATGCAATCCCCATCAAAATACCAATGACATTCTTCACAGAAATTAAAAAAAGAATCTTACATTTCTTATGGAAAAACAAAAGATCCTGCATAGCCAAAGCAATCCTGAGCAAAAAAAATAAAGTCGGAGACATAACACTACCTGATTTCAAATTATACCACAAAGCTATTGTGACCAAAACAGCATGGTAGTGGTATAAAAATAGACATTCTGACCAGTGGAATGAATTGAGAACCCAGAAATCACCTCTCAGGCTTACAGCAATCTGATATTGGACAAAGGCAAAAAAAAATCTACATTGGGGAAAAGACTGCCTCTTCAACAAGTGGTGCTTGGAAAACTGGATGTCCATATGCAGAAGAATAAAACTAGATATGTATCTCTCACCATACACTAAAATCAACTCTAAATGGATTAAAGACAAGTGTAAAACCTGAAACTAAAATTACTAAAGGAAAATATAGTTGAAACACTTCAGCAACTCGGTCTGGGCACAGGCTTTATGAACATGAGCCTGAAAGCACAAACAGTAAAAGAAAAAAATAAACAAATGGGAGTATATCAAACAAAAAAGCTTCTGCACAGCAAAGGAAACAATCAACAGAGTGATACAACAACCTACAACATGGGAGAAAATTTTTGCTAACTAGGCATCCAACAAGGGATTAATATCCAGAATATACACAGAACTCAAGCAATTATACACTAAAAAAACAACCCAATTAAAAAGTGAGCAAAGGAGCTGAATAGACATTTTTCAAAGGAAGACATACAAATGGCCAACAGGTACATGATAAAATGCTAAACATCTCTAGCCATTGGAGAAATGCAAATTAAAACTACGTTGAGATACCACCTCACTTCAGTGTTTGAAACAGATCAACCCCCACTGCAGTCCTAGAGAGGAAGGGCAGGAGCTGTGCAGGGGAAAGAGGTGGAAATCAGGAGACCTGGGTTTAGTCTTGGCTCTGCCATGAACTCTCTATGCAGCCTTGAGTAAGTCCTGTGACCAGGCTGGGCCCCAACTGCTCATCTATAAAGATAGAAGGGAGTACTGGATAGGTTGTTTCCAACATGGATTCTGAAGAGTTCAAGGATCCCAAGGAGATGCTCCAGAGCCTTGCCCAGGACACAGAGTAGAGCAAGGGGGAGGCTGAGTGTGAGGTCCTCCTGGCTGCATCTCCCATTTATCCAAGGGAGTTTTGCTATTATTTGCTATATACAAGAGACTGTATGTGAAAGGAGGACATTTAATCTAATTTTGAAAACTCGGCAGTTTTCAATACCTATTTTCAACTCAATGCATATGCACGATCTTATAGATCATTTTTTCCTTGCAGGCTCCCAGCATCTGCATCATGCCCCCCCCCCAATATGGACACTCATAGAGAATCTGTGAGATACATAGGAAAGTGGGGGTAACCTTTGATTGAGAAAATAAATCTTTTCTTCAGCTTGTCTGTTCTCACCTCAACACCCATTTCTTCCTTCATACCTGCCTCCCTCCCTTAAACAGGTCTCTGGTGATTCCAACCTCCCTAGAAAAAGAAAGCCCCTCACCTTGACAGGCTTGACCACCTCTTGTTTCAAGGCCTTCAAGACCACTTTGGAAGTAAAGCACTGTTGCTTGTTCACCTTGGCCATTGGGCTCTGCCAGGAGTCAAGAAAGAGGAAGAAAGGGTGAGATGGGCCCAGAGGGAAAGTGATGAGATACAAGGTCAGAAATTCACAATTCTTGAAAAGACACCTAAATATCACCTTGGGGAGTAAGAGTTGAAGTTTCTCCTCTTGCTTGCCCCTGGAAGAGACAGGATGACAAATAGGACCTAGGCTTGCTAACACCAACCTCCCCTCCTTTCACAGATATCACTAATGGATCATGGAATTTTTCCCTGCTGATCCCAGACAGGACCTCTAAATCATTCTCTTTATAGTGCTCCTGGCAGCTCCTATCTGCAGTTTTAGTACCCATTCCTTCCCTCTTCCATTTGTCTGCCAGACAGCATGGACTGGACAAAGGCCTCACGTACCTCACCCCAGTGGTTTTAGTGGGAAAAACTGCCTTCCCACCCGTCAGACATGGATCTTGGAGCTGGAGTCTGCTGATGTGCTCCATCTTTTGGGTCATCACATCCTGGGCGATGTCATCCTTCCAGAACAGACCTGAAGGATGAAAAGATGGTGTCAGTTGACACCCGGGACACTCTGACTGACCCACTCCTGGACAAGAGTGATCTTTCTTTCAAGTACATACCGGATCATATTTTGTGGAGAGAATTAAATGAGATGATGTATAAAAGTTGCTTAGCAAAGTGCCTGGAATGTAATATTCAATTAGAATTATGCTTACAGTCTCTTTGATAATTTATTTTATGCTATTGTGAGGATTAAATGAGGGATGTAAAGACTGCTTAGAAAACTCTAAGGCAGTGATTCTCCAACTTCAGTGTATATCAGAATCTCTTGCAAGGCTTGTTAAAGCACAGATAGCTGTTCCCCACCCATAGAGTTTATGATTCAGTACATCTGGAGTAAAAATCAAGAACTGCATTTCCAGCAGGTTCCCTTTTGATGCTGGTGCTGCTGGTCTGGGATGCACTTTGAGAACTTCTGCTCTAAGTCACTATATACACATTAGGCATCAGTAGTAGTAATATGAACTGCAGGCAGATTTCCTGCCTCTTTTCCACTCTCCCCTTTCATAAAACTTGTTCTAAGGAAGGGTCAGCCATCTGTTTCAAATGGACTGTCCATTCCCTTTCATTACTCCCCTTTGTTTATCATACAAGGGTACTTCGAAAAGTTCATGGAGAGATTCATATTATCTTTTAATTCTATTTTCCGTGAACTCTTTGAAGTACCCTCATTTCAATTTCCCCTGCTTCCTACTCAGAGGCTGAGGGATGTGTGTGTGTGTTTGTGTTCTCCTGGCTGAGAACTTAAGGAGTCCTGGTTCTGGAAAATCTCCGATAGTGCCAGAGTTTGGGATTAATCCCAAGGTGTTGGATGCTGGCTTCTTTCAGGGGTTCCTTCCAGAAGTTTCTGCTGGGCTCTTCCAGGGAGTTTGAGTGCAAAAAGCCCACCCATCAAGACTCCACTCCCACTCTTGTCTCACCCCCTTCTCCATGATGTGAAGGTGACAAGAGAGTTTCAAGTAGAGACACTTGGAGAAGAGAAAGCCTGTCCTCAGGTCAAACAGCCACTCACTGCCTTCCCTACCCCCATATCTGATCAGGCCCCAATCTCTGTTCTCCAGCTTTTGCTTACCTTGGGGTACAATCTGCTGGAGTACAATTTGTAAGTGCTGGAAGACTGGGGTAGTAAATCCTTGGAGGGGCCAGACCTGTCCTACTCCAACTTGGCTCTGACCATCTAAGGGCAAAATAGTGGTGTCAACAAAGAGCTTAGCCAGAAGCTTTCCAAATCCCATTTGAGAAGCAGCTTCCTTCCACTTTCATTTCTGGATCCCTTGGTCTCTGTGTCTGCTCCCCCACCCCCATCTAGGCCCCTTCTTCCCCCTCTTCAAGTCCTTTCATTTTTTCTTTCCCCCATCACTATCTGCCCTGTTCTTCAGCCCTTGGACCTTATTCACCCTTGATACCAACTTCCAGGCAAAACCAAGCTTACAGGCAAAGAGCAGCCCATGGAGGTTCAGATGAGCAGAGACTCGGAAAGCTACCCACATGAGATGAATAATCAGACAGATATGGGGAAGCAGGTGAGCTGCATCTTAGGGAAGCCTTCGAAGCCTGGAAGAGGTTCAGAAGGGGGCCTGGAATCCTTAGAAGAAGAAAGTATTGGTATGTATAGGGCTTGAGAGTCTACATCCTTTTCCTTTTTGGGGGTTGGGGATGGGCAGTTGACCAGTATGGGGCCAGCGCCACACTCTACTGAGTGAGCTAACCGGCCAGACCACTTTATATCCTTTTCCCGAAAGCCACCGTTTGCCCAGCTGTGTGCACAGGGGAAAGACAGGGGTGGGGGAACATAACCCCTAGGGCCACACACACCTTCCTTATCCTAGGTAGATGGAGTAGGGCTGGAAGAGAGTCTGTTTCTTTCTATAGCGGAATTACCATGAGTCATTCTGGACAGATCTTAAGAAAAGGGAATTCTCTTCCCCAATCAAATGGATCCTCATAGCAATTTCCTGGCCTTAGGAAGTAGTGGAGCTTCCAGCACCCTACTAAAAGATAAAGAAAAGGGAAGGGGAGCTGGTTCTCTGAGGCAGCGCTCCCGGGACTGGTAGGAAAGGGCTGTGAGCTGGACTCGCTCGGCCGGGACCCGCAGCGCGGCGGGCGCTGTCCGCGGTGCTGAGGTGGCCGGAGCCGGCGTGGCGGCGGCGCTGGAGACAGAGGCATCTCCACAGGGCTCGGCGGCCCTTCCCCCTCAGCCTCTCATCCACCACCAAGTTTCCCCCCCACCTGCCTCTCATCCACCACCAAGCTTCCTCCCACAGTTCTTCGAGAATCCTCTGCATTGGCCTCTAAGCCCACGAATCGGGCAGGAAGAGCGGGCGTCAGACCAGGAACGTGCGCGCTCCTCCCTACGCGCTCTGCGCAGG